TTATCTTATTGATACATCGATATATCGATCTATAATAAAAATCGAGTTACTCTCTCATGTTCAGCTACACAGAGTACAAGTACGTCTCATTATTTTCCACGTGTAATAATTCCTGTTATCCCATCATATGGCAAAACCCACTGGGGAATTCTCCTCTCCTTTGGAGCCATCAGTGTAAAAAGAAATAGCGCCTTCTCTGAATTCAAGTGATTTAGTTAGAAATTCTTTTTGAACGACAACATTAGAGCTGGATTTAAGTCCTCTTAGCAGTGCAACGTACGGATGTCTGTATATCATAGTATTATAGTCGTGTTGAAAAGCTGGAGGATAAACAGATCGATGTATTTCAGATTCTTTGTGTCTTAGCATAATGTATTGTTTGAATAGCGGAGAATTTTTTAATGCAGTTAATCTCTTTATTCCAAGCGGCGATTCGAGTTCTAGCCTTTTTAAACTTCTGGATACTGGATTGAAATCTCTTGAAAATGTCTTGTAAATAAACTTAGCAGAGAGATAATTAAATCTCATTTTCAACGGGGGTTCTTTAGCTTCGTGGAGCATAACATTGACCGGAGTGGAGTTTCTGTAACCCATGGCGATTCTTATGGCTCTGAATTGGATTCTTTCTAATTGCAGGAAAAGTTCTGAGTTTTTATTCCAAGTAAAGATTTGGCAGCCGTATTCAATAGAGCTGCGCAGAATAGATCTATATATTGTAACGAGAAGGTGAGGATGGGAACCCCATCATACACCAGTCAAGGAAGTCAGAATATTAAGGAGAGATTTCTCTTTTTTGATAAGATATTTTAAGTGTTCGTTGCTTTTAAGCCTTTCATCCATAACAATGCCCAGAAAACAAATCGATTATACTCTTGGAATAGGAGTGTCGCAAATATGAGCCTCGGGAATGCAGTCTGGTATCTTTCTTTTTCTAGTGAATAGAAGGCATTTTGATTTAGTGGGCGACACCTCTAACAAGGGACCCTCACAAACTGCACAATAGCTACAGCATAGAGAAAACTATCCAAGTATCTTGACTCTCTTTGGACCATTTTCCACCCAAAAACAAGACCGGAAATAAAATAAATATAAA